TAATAATTGTTTATCATGCAGATGTAATAATTGTTAATCATGTGGATGTAATAATTGTTAATCATGTGGATGTAATAATTGTTAATCATGTGTGTCTGCTGTGAACAATAATCATTTTCACATCATGAACAGTTTCTCAGAATCACCTCTAAGTGTCTCCAGTGGAACCAGAACCACAGAAACGTGTGACACCAGCCCTGGAGTTGGCGTTGGGCTGCGCACTTTTCCACATTCAGTTGAGTTTTGATACATCCGGAGTTTTGTGTGGATAATGACGTACGCAAGGTTTTTGTGCGTACGCACCATTGATACATGAGACCCCCGGTCCTCTTCAGGGCTCAGTGGGTCCAGCGGGTTTCACATTGGGAAAGTCTGGGACTTGGTTGGACTTTGTGTATCCGAGCTGATATTTTGGTGTCATTTTTACACTTTCACAGCTTGAGTTTGGTGTTTTTTAGTCTCCTGTTCAGCTGGTGGTAGGTCAGGTCACATTCTGGCTTCTGTGCTGTTCTGGATTTTCAGAGCTTTTATACAGGGTTCCCACACCTGGGCTAGGGAAAGAGAGGTCAAGCTGCTGCCCCCGCAAACTGACTTCTGATAAAACGAAAGATAATGGATGAATAGATGAGATTTAATTAACATTAATAACCCAGTGGTTTCAAATATACTTTTTTTAACACTAAAGTATTATTTAAATATGAAGTAGGGCTATAAAATGTACAATATTTGAAATTTGGCATATATCATTAATTTAGAGGGTTGGCATCATGTGTTTGCTATTAAAATGAAAAAGATGACATTGTGCATCTTATCTTATATATTTTGATTAGTAGAGTGTCTGAAGATATTTTTGGTGCAGTTTGGTGCCAGTTTAGGAAATACTGACAGAGAAGTTAGGGAAAGAGCATGACCAAATTTTCAAAATAAGCTCAAATTTTGACACTTTTTGGCCGTTTTTGTGGATGCCAGCTGTAAATGGCTTTACAAGTTTAATATTAGTTACCTGGATTTAATTAAGCAATCAGTTTTTAACACTTTGGTACCAAAAAAAAAAAACAGATGTGAAGCAAAAGATCTGGCAGTTATGGTCAGATATTATATAGACATAGTCAAAACCATGATTTTTAGCATTAATCTTGAATTCTGATTTTGTGTCCGGGAGAAATTTTGTAAGAAATGTTTTTTATATATCTGTAAGGGATGTGCTTTAATGGGGTACTAATACAATTGCTGGTACTTTTTATGCAGATAAACATGGTCTATCTCTTGGACTAAATTCGGTGAAGACGTGTCAAACAGGTGCTTTCGGTGTTTCATACTGATCAGGGAGTTTCTAAGAGCTTGGAGCAGATGGTTTCTGTTCTGTAACCACAGCTAAAACAGAGTTTGGACTTCTTGAATGACATCTGCATTAATTGTTTTGCAAAAGGGTAGAAAACTGTGTCAATCCAATGAGAATGGGTTAACAACACATTTGCAAGAGGTGTCCTCTGCTCTGCTGAGATGGTGATGATGAAGACTGAGAGGTTCCCAGTTCCTTCAAACAGGTCAAACCAATCAATAAAAAACTGTAACGCAGATGTCATTCAAGAAGTCCAAATTCCATTTTAGCTACAGAACAAAAACCATCTGCTCCAAGCTCGTAGAAACTCCCTGATCAGTTTGAAACCACTGAAAGCACCTGTTTGACACTTCTTCACAGAATTTTTTAATTTGCAATCAGTCTGCAGGCCTGTGTTGTTCTCTTATACTCTCAGTATAGGCCTACTATAGATTTTTGATCTTTACTGGAAAATACTGTTTTTTTTTTATTTACCTAATTTCTCACATTGTAAAGGATTTTATTTTTATTTCCATGTATTCTCTGTTGGAATACTTCATTTGTCAGGCACAGTCTGAAAAAAGAATGTAATCAATAAAACTGGCATCAAAGCATGTCTGCTTCTGGATGCATTTTTACAAGAGGGTAAATTTGAGTACAAACAGCACTGACATGTAAGCTACAGTCATAGGCTACAATGACAAGCAATGGTGCACTGATTCACACACGAGTGCTGTATTTTGTGTATTGTTGCCCGTCGTGTGCTGATTGATTGGAGGTGGTCATACATTGTGTCAAAGTTGACTTGTTTGCAGGCAAAATTTGCTTTTGTTCCATATTTTAAATGTTTTTGCACAGTTGGTGCCTTTTGCAAACAAAATGTGTCATTTTGACCACTGTGGCGATGTTTGGGCCTCTGCGTTAACCGTTTTGAAAATGTGGATTTTGAGTTGATGTGTCAAAACAATCAATAAAAAGTGTAACAGCTGATGATGAAAGCTGTCACACATTTTGTTCATATGTGTCACTTATACACCAGGTGACAACATATGAACCCAAATACAGCTGTGGAGTCAATGATAAGTCTTAAGAGAGCAACATGTGACTCATGTTGTCTGTTGAAGAACGTTCATGGGTTGACTGGGTTATTTTAGTGCTTTAGGATTAGCTTTTGCTAAATTTTTCGGTGTGTTAATGATTTAGAATTAGGGGACCTAAATATTTGAGTTAGTGTTTTAGGGCTAGTGGAACTAATTTTTAGATTAGTGC